GGTATATGAAGCCTCTGGCACCAATAGTTACAGGAAACGTAAAAGAACCCAACTCCTAACCAGACGAACATAAATTCTTTTTTTTGTTTTTTTTTTTTTAAGACAGGGTTTCACCATGTTGGTCAGGCTGGTCTTGAACTCCTGACCTCAGGTGATCTGCCTGCCTTGGCCTCCAAAGTGCTTGGATTACAGGTGTGAGCTACCATGCCCGGCCCTTTTTTTTTTTTTTTTTTTTTTAAAGCTCTCTCTTCATTCTCTTGGCCTTTCAGGAGTCTGATGGCATTAATGTTATATATTATTCTCTCCTGCTATAGTTCCACAGGTTGCTGAGGCTCTGTTCATTTTTCTGAGTCTATTTTCTCCCTACTTAGGCTTTCACTTATACCTCTCTAGTGGGAGACGTTGGATTTCCTTGTTTTTGCTACCCACATGTGAAATGATGTGGCCACTTTAGAAAACAGTTGGGCAGTTCTTCAAAAAGAGGTACTGTAAGTCCCAGCAATGCCACTGCTAGGTATAAGCCCAAGAAAAATAAAAACGTATGTCCAGACAATAATTTGTACACCGATGTTTGTACCAGCATTATTTATTGTAGCTAAAAAAATGAAACAATTTAGTCTGTCAACTGAAGAATGGACAAACCAAATGTATATCCATACAATGGAATATTATTCAGCAGTAATAGGAAATGAGGTATTGATCATACTATGACATGGATGAACCTTGAAACATTTAAGCTAAGTGAAAGAAGGCAGTCACAGAGGACTAAATATTGTATGATTCCGCCGGGCGCGGTGGCTCAAGCCTGTAATCCCAGCACTTTGGGAGGCCGAGGCGGGTGGATCACAAGGTCGAGAGATCGAGACCATCCTGGTCAACATGGTGAAACCCCGTCTCTACTAAAAATACAAAAAATTAGCTGGGCATGGTGGTGCGTGCCTGTAATCCCAGCTACTCAGGAGGCTGGGGCAGGAGAATTGCTTGAACCCAGGAGGCGGAGGTTGCGGTGAGCCGAGATCGCGCCATTGCACTCCAGCCTGGGTAACAAGAGCGAAACTCCGTCTCAAAAAAAAAAAAAAAAAAAAAAAAAAAAAATATTGTATGATTCCGTTTATATGAAATGTCCAGAATAGGTAAATATATGGGGACATAAAATAGATTCATAGCTCTCTAGAACTGGGGGGTTGAGTTGTGGGCATATGTGAAGTGACTGCTAATGGTATGGAGTTTTTTGGGGCTCATGAAAGTGTTTTAAAATTAATCGTGATAGTGGTTACACAAACTTGTAAATATACTAAAAACCAATGATGTGTACACTTTAAATGGGTGAATTATATGCTATGTGATTTATATTTCTTTTTTTTTTTGAGACGGAGTTTTGCTCTTGTTACCCAGGCTGGAGTGCAATGGCGCGATCTCAGCTCACAGCAACCTCCGCCTCCTGGGTTCAGGCAATTCTCCTGCCTCAGCCTCCTGAGTAGCTGGGATTACAGGCACGCGCCACCATGCCCAGCTGATTTTTTGTATTTTTAGTAGAGATGGGGTTTCACCATGTTGACCAGGATGGTCTCGATCTCTTGACCTCGTGATCCACCCGTCTCGGCCTCCCAAAGTGCTGGGATTACAGGCGTGAGCCACTGCACCTGGCCCATGATTTATATTTCAATAAGAGTTTACAAATAAGAAAAGAAAACCCAGAGAACTTAACATCTTGTATTTCCTGAGGTTCCAACATCTCTAGCAAGTATGCTTGTTTCTCTTCACCTTTCAGAGCCTTCTTGTCTTTGTTTTATGTATAATATCTAGGGTTTTTAGTGGATAGAGAAAATTGCATTTAATTCATCTTGTCCTATTTGCAGAAGTCATTTGTTTTCAAAATTACCTTTTCACTTTTATTTTTAAAATTAGCTTATAAATTTTTTTATTGTCCTATAAACTTTAACACACATATAGATGGGTTAACGCATATATGTTAATCCTGGTTACCATAACCAGGATACAGAACAGTACTATTAACCCCCAAACTGCTGTGTGCTATTTCTCTGTAGTCATACCCTTTCCTCATTTCTAAATTCTGACACTACTGGTCTGTTTTCTGTTACTATATAAATGGAATTATAAAAAGAATAAGTGATTTTTGGGAGTAGCTTTGTTTGTTCAGTGTAGTGCCTTTGAGATTCATTGAGGTTGGTCTGTGCATCAGTAATTTGTGTCCTTTTCTTCTGGATTAGTATTCCATTATATGGGTATACATACCGCACGTTGTCTATACATTCAGTCATTAAAGGATATTTGCGTTGTTTCCATTTTTGATGATGAGAAATGGAGTTTTTCAAAACATTTGTGTACAGGATTTTTATTTACATAGTTTTAATTTCTCTAGGGTGAATACTTGGTATGGGATTTCTGGGTCATATGTTAAGTATATGTTTCACTTTATAAGGAACTGCCAAACTGTGTTCCAGAGCAGTTCTGCCAGCAAGGTTTGAGAGTTCTAGTTCTCCTGCATCCTCACCAGCACTTGATATTGTATTTTAAAATTTTATGTATTGTCATAGTATATGGCAGTAGTTATCGTACTTTTAGCTTTTATTTCCGTAATGGCGAATTATGGTGAATATCTTTTCATGTGCTTATTTGCCACACTATAGCCTTTTTGGTCAAGTGTCTGCTTGGGTCTTTTGTCCATATTTAAATTGGATTATTTGTTTTCGTATTATTGATTTTTGTGGATTCTGGCTACAAGTTTTCTGTTGAATATGTGATTTGCAAATATTATTTCTCGCTTGGTAGTTTATCTTCTTTCAACAGTGATTTTCTAAGAGCAAAGGTTTTACAATTTGAGGAATTCCAATTTATCAATTGTATCTTACTTAGATTGTGCCTTTTCGTCTAATAACTTTTTTTTGTTTTTTTTTTTACTTTTTTTCTTTTTTGTCTACTAACTCTTTACTTATGCCCATGCCATAAAGATTTTCTTCCACATCTTCTTCTTCTTCTTCTTCTTTTTTTTTTTTTTTTTGAAACGGTGTCTCGCTTACTCTGTAGCCCAAGCTGGAATGAGCTGGTATAATCTTGGCTCACTGCAAACTCTTGTCTCCTGGGTTCAAGCAATTCTCTTGCCTCAGCCTCCTGAGGAGCTGGGATTACAGGTATGCGCCACCATGGCCAGGTAATTTTTGTATTTTTAGTAAAGTTGAGGCTTTACCACGTTGTTGGCCAGGCTGATCTTGAACTGTTGACCTTAAGTGATCTGCCTGCCTTGGCCTTCCAAGGTTTTGGGATTACAGGCATGAGCCTGTGCTCCCAGTCTATAGATTCTCTTTATCAAGTCAAAGAAATCCCCTTCTATTCCTGTTTGCTGAGTGTGTGTGGGGGGTGTTTCTTTTTTTTTTTTTTTTTTTTTTTGAGAGAGAGCCTCTCTCTGTTGCTGAGGCTGGAGTGCAGTGGTGTGATCTCAGCTTACTGCAACCTCTGCCTCCCCAGTTCAAGTGATTCTCCTGCCTCAGCCTCCCAAGTAGCTGGGATCACAGGTGCCCACCACCATGCCAGGCTAATTTTTGCACTTTTTAGTAGAGACCGGTTTTGCCATGTTGGCCAGGCTGGTCTCGGACTCCTGACCTCAAGTGATTCACCTGCCTCGGCCTCCCAAAGTGCTGGGATTACAGGCGTGAGCCACCGCGCCCAGCCTTGCGTGTTTTTTTTTTTTTTTTTTTTTTTTTTTTTAAGTCATGAATGGATGTTGAACTTTTTCAGTTGATTCTCTGCATCAATTGATACAATAATTTGTGTTTTTAAAATTTAATCTGTTTGATATAGTGGGTTACGTTTTTGTTTGAACCAGTTCTGCATTCCCAAGACATACCTCCCTTGATTGTGAAGTTTTCCTCTCCTTGTAATTAAGGAGAGATAGGAGAATTGCTGGAGTGATATGTGGATGAAGTAAAAGGGGGTGGGATCAGGTGTCCAAGTAGAAAGGTGGGCCTTAGGAGCAGCAACCTATAATCCACAATAATAGGATTGGCATATGTGTAAGTAGGTGGGAAGATATGGTGAGAGACTGTGGGAGTTTTCTTCTGAAGGCTTCTATTTTTGATGTGTTAACCAGTCTAACCTGAGCATAGGAAAGGTAGAAGAGGATGCCAAGAGTGCCAGGTCTAGGAAGGTTTAACACAACGATTGGGGGCTCTACCATTCTCCAGTGAGCCTTGGTGAGTCACTGAATATTCTGGAGTAGAGGAGTGGGAGATGATTAAAGCTGAAATTCAGACTTGATTTGGTAGATAGGATAGATAAGAAGGGGAAAAGTGGCAGGTGGACAGTAACCAGTAACCTTAGTTGGGAATGATGGGACCTAAACTAGGTGCAAAGACGGAGATAAGAAGTTTTTATTGGCAGAGCTAGAATCAAATGGAATTGGCAGCTGTATGGCTGAGGTAGCAAAGAGAATATGCTGTATTTTTTCATTTACTTATTTACTTATTCTAGAAATATTAAGAGATTGGCAGTGGTGCATTGGGGATCAGGGCCTGAGTGACAGCTGCAGAGTGGGCTGGCAGCCTGGCAGGCTTTGTGACCCAAGCAAAGAAAATAACAGTGAGTTGTGGCCTGGAGGCTTGGGGCCTGATTGAGGGAGGGAGCAAAGCAGGGTGGCAGCCCCCTTGGCTCAGGAGATTGGTTACATACAAGGGGGTTGAAAAAACAGGAAAATATTTTGAGGATAATAAAATCTATGTTTCTCATTGTCAGAGAAGGGAGTTAAAAATATGGAAAGGGTCATAACTAGAATTAACCCTGGTATATAATATAGGAATTGGAAACAGTGTGAACTCATGGTTTTCTATATGTAGAAATATAGATATAAATTAATATAAATATGAAGATAATATGTGTATACAGAATACACACATATGTATATCTATAAATTATCTACTTACCTACATATTATCTATCTGTTTTCTTTTTTCTTTCTTTTTTTTTTTTCTCTATCTGTTTTCTAGCTCTATCTGGAAGGAGTCTGGAAGCAGCAACACCCTAGTAGCAATGAATGTATGTAGTGCCCAGATCTTGACTTCTCAATACCATTCTCCACTAAAAGGAACCAAAGATCATTGGAGAAATGGCTCATTCTAAGGCTAGCACGGAAAAATGCAAAATGAGCCTTCTGGTGGACAGACTCACAATCTCTAAAGCACCCCCTCCATGATACCTGCCTGCTGGTACCATGATACCACCCCCAGTTTTTAGTGCAAACAGGACCCATAACTTGTTTCTAACTAATAGAATATGACAACAGTGATGGGATGTCACTCCCACCATTAGGTTATATTATGTAAAACTCTTTCTTGCTAGGGTGGAGACTCTAGAGACTTTTAGGAACTGCAGGAGGCCTCTCGTTGCTAACAGCCAAGAGCCAGCAAGAAGCCAGGATCCTCAGTCCTATTGATACAAAAAAAAACCAAAGCCTGCCTACAGTCTTAGAAAGCTTGGAAGTGGATTCTTTCCACTCATGCCTCCAGGTGATAAGGCAGCTTGGCTGACATCTTGATTTCAGCCTTGCTAAAGCCTCAGCAGAGGACTCAGATAAACTGTTCCTGGACTTGGCTGGGTGCAGTGGCACACGCCTGTAATCCCAGTACTTTGGGAGGCTGAGGCAGGTGGATTACGAGGTTAGGAGTTCAAGACCAGCCTGGCCAAAATGGTGAAACCCCGTCTCTATTAAAAACAAAACAAAACAACAAAAAACTGTTCTTGGAATCCTGACCTACAGAAATTGTGAGTATATTAAGTGCGTAGTATTTTAAGCTGCTAATTTTGTGGTAATTAATGTGCTATGCGACAATAATAATATAAGCCTAGAACATCTTGCTCTGCCAGAAAGTAAGAAGGGACTCAAATAACTGTAAGCTATGACTAAAGGATCCTGAAGTAAATTTGAAGGTACTCTCACTAGACATATCTGGGATAATATGAGATTCAAAATAAATAATAGTATAGATATATTAATATATTAATAATATAACATTAATATAGTTAATATATTAATGTAATATAAATAAAATGGGAAATAATGAGTTCACATTCATATAAATAAATAACCAGTAAGTCAATGGAAAGAAGAGAAAGCTCTTCCTTGCTACTTTAAGGACAACTAATTAGTGTAGAAGAAATAATACAATTGAAAATATCTATTTTGTAACCAACATAGTAATAGTTAATTCAGGCAGAAACATCAGTAATTGCTAAAACAAGGGTGAAAGTGGGATGATAAATGAATATTTGCATAGCTTTGAAGTGTCTTTCCACAAATGAATTAATTAGGTAAAATAATAAATTTATAGTGGAAAATCTGGCAGATACCACCAAGAAATCAAGCTTAACATTATCAGCAATTGGACATATTGACACATGTACTTCCTGATATGATGCACCGTGAAGCGTACAACATCACTTTCATAGTATTCTTGCCAAACATGCTTAACCTGCATCTAATCATGAGGAAGCATTAGACAAATCTTAACATTTTGCCCTTTTGCCATTATTGCAACAATTGGTGAAATTTGAATGTACTCTGAGTGAAGAATACATGGGAGTCTCTGTATTTATCTTGCAGTTTTCCCTCTGTAAGTTTAAAATTGTTTCCAAATAAAAAATTTAAAAAGGGCCGAGGAGTGGTGGCTCACATCTGTAAACCTAGCACTTTGGGAGGCCAAGGGAGGCAGATCTGTTGAGCCCAGGATTTCGAGGCCTGGGCAACATGGCGAAACTCTGTCTCTACTAAAGATACAAAAATTAGCCAGGTGTGGTGGCGCATGCCTGTAGTCCCAGCTACTTGGGAGGTTGAGGTGGGACGATCACCTGAGTCTGGGGAGGTCAAGGCTGCAAGTGAGCTGTGATTGTACCACTGTACCCCAGCCTGGGTGACAGAGTGAAACCACCTTTCAAAAAAACAAACGGAAGAAGAAATATAAAAAGGAAATATGTGCCAGGCACTGTCCCAGGTAGTAGAATAATTCTGGCAACAAAAACAGACAAAAATTCCTGCTCTCATGGGTTTTACATTTTAGTGGGAGGAAGTAAAGACTAAATAAATCATTATACTGTAGTGTGGGTAAGAAAAACCATCTAAAAATTATTTTATCAAGTCAGTTGGGAATAAGTGCAATGATTAATAAACCAGAGGAAGAGCATAAGAGAGTGACTCTAGGATCTGGCTATGTGGACTGGTAGGCACTCTATTTAAATTAGATTAGTCAGCAGAGGTCTCTTTAAGAGGTAATGCTTGAGTGGGGAATGAAAAGATAAAGATTTCGGTTATAAAAAGGTCTGGGGAAAGAGCACTCCAGGCATAGGGGCCTTCAAGTTCGAAGGACCTGAAGTGAGAATGAGCTTGGAAGTTTTAGGAGTCCCCCGAAAAGCCAGTGAAATGGTAGGATAATAGATTAGGCATGGCAGAAGGTAGACCAGTTGTGCAGGTGTGTGTGTGTGTGTGTGTGTGTGTGTGTGTGTGTTGGGATTCTGAAGGTAGTTTAACATTGACTCCAACTTTTTAAAGCTATACAGTATGAACAGCAGAACTCTGAAATTTGACTTCTGGGTTCAAATCCAATTTCTTCTACCAGCCATGTGACTCCAAGAAAATGCCTTAACCTTTCTGTGCCTCAGTTCCCTCATTTGTAAATGAGAACTAATAATAGCTCCAACCTAAATAGGTTACTTTGAGAGTTAAACAGATGGGTGCATGTAAAATGCTTAGGACAGTGTCCAGCATGCTAACCCAATATATGTTAGAAATTATCTTAGTTGATTTGGCCTGGGCTTATTCACTGCCTGGTTGGTGTGTGTGTGGCAGGATCCCAGGAAGTATAGCTTGCCTGGCTGTATGTGTCTAAGGGGGGACAGAGGAGCCCAGGCCTAAGAAATGTGACCCTGCACAGTGAGGGATGAGGGCTGCTTCCTGCTCATTCCTACCTCCTACCAAAACTAAGTCCTGTGAAAGGGATTCTAGCAGGTGTGACCTATTGAATAAAACAGGAAACCATGAATTCACATTTGCATAAACGAATAAAGGCACAGTCAAAATCCCTTATTGAAGCCTAATTCTAACTTTTTTTTTTTTTGAGACCAAGTTTTGCTCTTGTTGCCCAGGCTAGAGTGCAATGGCATGATCTTGGCTCACTGCAACCTCTGCCTCCCAGGTTCAAGTGATTCTCCTGCCTCAGCCTCCAAAGTAGCTGGGATTACAGGCATATTTCACCACACCCGGCTAATTTTGTATTTTTAGTAGAGATGGCGTTTCTCCATGTTGGCCAGGCTGGTCTCGAACCGCCGACCTCAGATGATCCGTCCATCTCGGCCTCCAAAGTGCTAGGATTACAGGCGTGAGCCACAGTGCCCAGCCAATTCTAATTTTTTATACTTGACCTAGACCCAAATTCAACTCATATTTGAACTCTTCTAGATAAAAGCCACTCGTAATCTCTGTCCCATATACAAATGAAGTCCTGACCCTTTGTCCAGCCAAATCCTGACCACTTCTCCAATCTGGGTCTGCTGCTGGCTCCGAATCTGGCCTAGCTCTGCCTTTCACTCCCAGAGGCCCAAACTTGGCCCCATCTTCATCTCCCTATCTTCACTTAATCTATTATTGGCCTTGACTCAGGCCCTGTCACAACTCCAGTCTCAATCTTGGTGCTATACTAGATAAGTGTGCTGATCTTAGAAACATTTCTTATGAGGCACTCAGATTCCTGCCTTTCATTCCTAACATTTTGTAGGGGAACCATAGTGTTGGGGTGAATGAAATTAGCTTGGGTGATGAGAGATGCTGCTCCCATAATTTATTCGGCCTGTTCTTTCACTTATTTATTATTATCCCCTCAGTGTGCTCTTCCTTTTTGCCTTTGCTCGTGTTCCTCTCTTCAACTGCAACGCCTCCTCTGCTCCTCATCACCTCCCCAAATCCTTTAATGATCAGCTCTTGATGCTATATATAGTGATAACTGTACTTCCCTTAGGACTTGCTTCTGGGCCAGTGGATTCTATACCTATGCCTTTTGGACTTGCACTTGCACTTAGTTTTACATCCTGATTTTTGGTGGGAAATTTCTGTATAGGAGGGGCTGATCAATGGCATTCTAGGCGAATTGGGTCTTCAAACTACATTTGCACAGCACTTTACCAGAAATTGAGGAAACAAATTTTCTAAACCAAATAATTTCAAGTGGGCTTCCATTTTGAGTTGCATGATAATCTGAATGACCTTCCTGATTTAAACAACTAAAATTTTTAATAGAATGTAAAGAAAATTGGATAGTTTAAAATGCTGTATTGAACTACCATTAGATTAAGAAGCAGATAAATCCTCAAAACAAGGTAAGAGTGTATTCATGCAATGAGATACTACTGAGAATTAAAAGAGGACAAATGATGGAAATATGCTATAATATGGATGCATCCTAGTGCTCGGTGAAAGAAGGCAGGCACAGATGAGTATATAGTATATGATTCCATCTAAATGAACTTTAAGAACAAGCAAAACTAACCTATGATATTAGAAGCCAAGATAGTATGAAAACAGACTAAAACAGAAGAAAAAGCAAAAAAAGAAGTCAAGAGGGTGTCTACGCTTAGGGAATAGGACTGGGAAGGGGCATGAGGGAAACTTGTGAGAGAAATGTTCTCTCTCTCTTTTTTTAAAAGACAGGGTCTCAGCCTGCCGCCTGGAGTGCAGTGGTTTGATCATAGCTCACTGTAACCTGAAACTCCTAGGCTCTAGCACTCTCCCACCTCAGCCTCTCAAGTAGCTGGGACTACAGGTGTGTGCTACTATGCCAGGTCATTTTTTTTTTTTTTTTTTTGAGGCAGAGTCTCAGTCTTGTTGCCCAGGATGGAATGCAGTGGTGCAATCTCGGCTCACTGCAGCCTCTGCCTGCCAGGCTTAAGCGATCCTCCCACTTCAGCCTCCCAGGTAGCTGAGATTTCAGGTGCATGCCACCATGCCTGGCTAATTTTTATACTTTTTGTAGAGATAGGGTTTTGCTTTGTTGTCCAGGCTGGTCTCAAACTCCTGGGCTCAAGTGATTCTCTGGCCTTCGCTTCCTAAAGTGCTGGGATTATAGGCATAAGTCACTATGCCTGACTGTTCTATGTATCTTGTTCTTAGTGATGAAGATACCTATATATTTGCAAATTCATACAGCTGTTATTATTTTTGCTTGGAGCCTACTCAAAGTGGGAAATCTAATAGGAGACCCACTAAGCAGAAAAAAGGTGAAATACCTAAAGACTGCACCTTAGTGTTAGGGTAAAGGAGAAGTAAACCCTGCCAAGCAGAGGGACAGAAAGAAAACTCGCTCATTTTGACTTCCTCGCTGAATTGAAAGACAAAAATTCCCTATAGCAGCAACAGGCACACCTAGACCCAGATCTCAGATTTTAAGTATCACTTCTGACTAAAAAGGAACTCAGAATCCCTTGGAGTAATAGCTGATTCCAGGGCTGGATCAGGGAAGTTATAAGGCTGGAACATCTTGTAGTGTCAGAAAGTAAGGAAATGTTCTCCAGATGATAGGGGCATGTCACGAGGACATAGGAGTCACCTTGAAGGAGTTTGCACTGGCCAGATCTGAGGC